AGCACATTTCATCCAAATCAGTAAATTAATATTAATATTAACATTCAGACCCTATTCAAATTTCAGCAATTGTAGCTAAATTATGTCCTTTATGCAAAAGGATTTAGTGCAAAATCATGCAGTACATTTAGTTGTCATATCTCTTCAGTTTCATTTAGTCTGCTGCTGTTCCTCAGAGTTAACTTTCATGACCTTGATGCTTTTGAAAATTATAGGCCAGTTATTATGTAGAATGACCCCCAATTTTGGTTTGTATGTCATTTCTTCATGACTAGGTCGTGGCCATGCATCTTTGACAGAAATAGCACAAAGGTGTAATGCTCAGGTTTTCTAATTGCAACCCATTTAGGTGGCTCATGATTTTAATTTGTTTCACTACTGTGGTTTTAAGTTTACTTGATTCAGGAGGTGTTTGCCAGTCTTCTCCATTATAAAGTTATTTTTTTTCCCTATTAAAAGAATCTTTGGGGGATGTGGTGGCAGAGGAGTATTTCAGAATTATTCTTTTCCTTTTCTAAAAAAAAAAATTAATTTAGCCCTGGCCGGTTTGGCTCAGCAGTTCGAACATCGGCCTGTGGACCAGAGAGTCCCGGGTTCGGTTTCCGCCAAGGGCATGTGCCGCGGTTGCAGTTTGTCCTCGGCCCCAGTTGGGGTTGTGCGGGAGGCAGCCACTCGATGTGTTTCTCTCACATCGATGTTCCTCTCTCTCGATCTCTTCCTCCCTCTCCCTCCCACTCTATGTGAACAAAAATGGAAAAATGTCCTCGGGTGAATATTAAAAAAAGAAAGAAAGAAAGAAACCAAAATTTGGCCTGGCTGGTATGGCTAGTGTTTGAGCATTGACTCATACACCAAGAGATCACTGGTTTGATTCCTAGATAGGACACCTACTCAGGTTGTGAGCTTGATTCCTGCTAGGGGGTGTGCAGGAGGCAATCATTCATTGTTTCTCTCTTATTGATGTTTCTATCTATCTCTACCTCTCTTTCTAAAAAACCAATTAAAAAAAGAAAAATCAAAATGTGGTTGGTAGATATACTTATAGCTCTTCTGATGGCCATTCCCTCTTGGTGGAGAAATGTAGGAGTGACTGTGTGTGTGTATACACATTTGCATTATATTAATTTCTAGCCCTGGCCAGTTTTGCTCAGTGGTTAGACCATCGGCCCACAGACCAATGAGTCACAAGTTCGATTCCAGTCAAAGACACATACCTCGGTGGCAGTTTGTTCCTGACCCTCGTTGGGGTCGTGTGGGAGGCAATCAATCTATGTGCCTCTCTCATGTTGATGTTTCTCTTTCTCTCCCCCTACCTCCCACTCTATCTGAAGATAAATAGGAAAAAAAAAATGTCTTCGGGTGAGGATTGGGGGGAAAAAAACCCAATATATTAATTTCTACATCTGTCGGTTTAGAATGCCATGAGTTCACATCGATACATCAGTTAATCTAACTAATTTAACTTCATTTTTAGTTTTCTCTGTTTGCATAGTTACATCTTTTTTCCTCTGACAGCAAGGAACCTGGTTCTCATCATTCCTAATTTATTTGTTTCCATTATAGTTACTTCATGCATTTGATCCACTCTTTATACATTTTCACCCTCTTATCCCTAGTCTTTTTTGTATAGGTACTATTACCTGCTATGTCTCTGATAACCCCATGCCAGATTGCTCTTACTTGAGGTCACATTTCTCACCCATCTTTGGGTTTAAAAGCCAACATTTTAATGTAGGAAGTAGGACATGAGTAAGAATTATCAAATAGCTTTTTTTTTTTAATCCTAACCTGAGAATATTTTTCCATTGATTTTCAGATGGGGGGGGAGGGAGAGAAATATCATTGTGAGAGAAATATCATTGTGAGATAGGCACATCAATTAGTTGCCTCCTTCACGACCCCATCCAGGGGAGTGATCAAACCTCAACTGAGGTATGTGCCCTTCACTGGAATCAAACCTGTGACTCTTGCCTGGCTGGTTTGGCTCAGCGGTTAGAGCATCAGCCTGTGGTCCAGAGAGACCTGGTTTGGTTCCCGCTAAGGGCACGTACCTCGGTTGCAATTTGTCCCTGGTTGGGTCGTGTGGATGTGTCCCTTTCACGTCGATGTTTCTCTCTCTCTCTCTCTCTCCCTCCCACTCTGTCTGAACAAAAAATGGAAAAATGTCCTCAGGTGAGGATAAAAAACAAAAACAAAAAAAACCCTGTGACTCTTTGGTTCACAGGCCGATGCTCTAACTGCTGAGCCAAACGTGCCAGGGCTCAAATAGCTTTTTAAAAAATCTTTTATTTTATTTTATTTTTATTATTTTTTAAAATTTATCTTTATTGTTGAGAGTATTACAGGTATCCCCTCCTTTCCCCCCAATAACCTCCTTCACCCCACTCTCACCCTTACCCCTAGGCCTTCACCACAATATTGTCTGTGTCCATGGGTTATATGCATATAAATTCTTTGGTTAATCCCCAAGCCTCCACCCTAACCCCATGAGATTCGCCAGTGTGTGCCATGCTTCCATGTCTCAATCTATTTTGTTCATCAGTTTATTTTGGTCATTTTATTTTCGACATATAAATGAGAGCATGTGATACCTGTCTTTTCATTGCCCTTTTTAGCCCTAGATGCTCGCCTAGAAGTTGGACTTGAACAGCAAGCAGAACTTATGTTGAAAATGATGTCTACTTTGGAAGCAGATTCCATTCTACAGGCATTAACAAATACATCTCCTACATGTAAGTAAAACTCAACATTTTTAGAGTATTGCAGTAAATAATTTATCTGTTGATTATGTTCAGATGTACTCAGCAAGGACAGATTTTTAAATTTTATGTCTCGTATGAGTCTGAATTGGCTAAATATATAGTACCTCTCTCTTGCTAAATGAGTAGCAAATTGAGAAATAAGACAAAGGATTAACAAGTTGAGAAAGTAGAAGGGAACAAAATACCTCAATGTAATGCTTTTAAATTCAGTTTAAAAACCTTTGTTAATGTGGTGTTACGAGGTTAAGGAAATGCATAGAAAAGGCTGTGAGGTAGCTGCCTACGAGTTCATTGCATTATATCCAAATTTCTAATAAAATGAATTTTTACTACTAAAATCTTTATTTTCTTTAAACGCTAATATGGAAGACCTCAGCCAGCATAATAGCCAAATAGGCCTGATTGAACTGCAGAATCGAAAAGGTTTAGTAACTAATAATCTACAGCAAAGGAAGACAATTTTTTTTTTATCCTCACCTGAGGACATTTTTCCATTTTTTGTTCAGATAGAGTGAGAGGGAGAGAGAGAAACAACGATGTGAAAGGGACACATTGAGTGGCTGCCACCCGCACAACCAACCAGGGCTGGGGACAAACTGCAACCAAGGTACATGTCCTTAGCAGGAACAGAACCTGGGTCTCTCTGGACCACAGGCTGATGCTCTAACCGCTGAGCCAAACCGACCAGGGCAAGGAAGGCAAATATTTAAAACTACGTTTTTATTTATTTTTTTAGAGAGAGTGGAAGGGAGATAGAGATAGAAACATTCATGTGAGAGAGAAACTTCTGTTGACTGCCTCCTACACACTCCCTACTGGGAATTGAGTCCAAAACCCAGGCATATGCCCTGACCAGGAATCGAACCGGGACCTCTCAGTCTATGGGACAACGTTCAGTCCACTAAGCCAAACTGGTCAGGCAAAAGTCAGGCAAAAGAAGGCAAATTTTTTTTAATCCACACCTGAGGACATTTTTTTTCATTTTTTGTTCAGGTAGAGTGGAAGGGAGAGAGAGGAAGAGAGAGAGAGGAGAGAGGAGAGAGAGAGAGAGAGAGAGAGAGAGAGAGAGAGAGAGAAAGAAACATGGAAGTGAAAGGGACACATCGAGTGGCTGCCTCCCCCACGATCCAACCAGGGCCAGGGACAAACTGCAACCAAGGTACATGCCCTTAGCGAGAACCAAACCCGGGTCTCTCTGTACTGCAGGCCAGCGCTCTAATCGCTGAGCTAAACCGGCCAGGGCTGGGAAGGCAAATTTTTGAAAATAAAGGGCCACATAGTAAATGTTTTAGGCTTTTCTGGCTATGCGGTAGTTGTTGCAACTACACAACTCTTACTCTGTAGCAGTAAAGCAGTCATAGACAGTATGTAAATGAATGGGCATTGCTGTGACAGAATTAGGTGGCCTGCCAGATACGGCTATCAGGCTGTGGTTTGCTGACTCTTGGAGTACAGTGCTAGACTTGGGTAGATCTTCTTCTGTCAGGTGAGTACAGTTTAGATAGCAGCCCCTCTCTAAAAGACAAAAGATTGAGGAGATGTGCTGAGAAGATGGTCATGTTTTCTTTTTTTTTTTTTCAATAGGCGTTTGAATCACTTTCCTTCTCTAGCATAGTGTGTTTAATGGGTTAGAACCTAGGGAGAGCATCATGTTCTTCTATGAAGAGGCGTTCACAGTCCATTTTAATAGAAACTTTGGATTTTCAGATCTTCCTATATTGCAGTCTTTCATTGCAAACTTCATTTGTTTCTTCCCTTAGGAGATATAGGAAAAAAAAAGAGAGAGAGAAAAATAGAAGATGGTGTTCTATAACCTTAGTATTGGTACACTAATGTTGTATGTTGTCTCCTATGTAATAATGGGGAACCCTTTTGTTGGGTCAGTCTTTCCATGACCACAGACAGCTCAGTACTGCCCAAGTAGCTCTTTTTTTTTGTTAACAAAGAAAATAAACAACAAACAACCGCTTATTAGAAGATTATTTTGTAATTTATATCTGCTTCTCTTAATATAATCTAACTTTTGATTATTGTCATGTGCAGAACTGTATCCTCTCCCCCTTTTAATATATTTACTTTCTAAATATATGTAGAATTGCTGTTAGAGTCCCTATATTTCTCTGCTCCTCATGAATTTTATTAATTTAATTCATTTGGTATGTGGTCTAAGCATCAGGATTTTTGGATGCTTCCCAGGTAATTTAATGTACAGTCAGGGTTAAGAATTATTAGACTAGATTGTCCATCCTTATCCCTGCTGGCCATTCTGCCAGGTTTTGCTTGTGGACCAGAGCATCCTCGAAGTCTCACCCAAAGAAGTGAGCACAGCTTAAGTGGGCTCATGCCACGGACTCTTCTAGACACACATAACAGGTGCTAGACACACATAACAGGTGGTGGAAGGAAGGAAGGGAGGGAGGGAGGGAGAGAGAGAGAGAGAGAAAGAAAAAATAGAGTCAGTACACTCAAGTCTAGATGATTCTAAAACTACCTTCTTAAGAATTAGTCAAGATTCTTCTTTCTCTCCCTTTTCTTTTCCTTTTATGAATTAGGAAACAATTGAAAATAAAAATTGCTGGAGAGTAAGGAAAAAACTTTGGTGAACAAGTCTTGTGAATTTGGAAGCTTCTTTGTTGATTGTCTTTTGACTTTCAAGTAATGTGGTAGAAACAAGTTTTCAAATAATAACGATGAGTTATTTTAAAGAATGCAATTCTAAGTTTTTTTAAAAATACAGTCTTCACTTACCTATGCATACTAATAGGTAGTTAGAATTTCTCTTGATTTGTGTATAAAATCATAATTGTGTTTAATTTTCAGTATCACAGTCTCCCACTGGAACAGATGATTCACTTCTAGGGGGTTTACAAGCAGCGAACCAATCCAACCAACTTATTATACAGTTATCATCTGTCCCAATGTTAAATGTTTGTTTCAACAAACTTTTTTCCATGCTTCAAGTCCATCATGTTCAGGTATGACTTCCTGAGAAATAGTGCATTTTTAGACATTATTACCTGCCTATATAAAAAATGAAAATGACTGGAGGTGTCATTTTCAACCTAACAGTGATGATTTCTTTATAATGCTCAGATGGAAAAATATTGGAGATGCTTGGATAACCATAGCTCTGCAGTGATAGGTCATATATAATTTTTATGATTCTAAGCTTTATTGATCAGATCTAACTACATTGTTTAATGTTGAACAATGCAGGGGTTAGGGGTACTGATCTCCAGCAGAGTTGAGAATTCACATGTAACTTTTTTTTTTAATCCAAGGACATTTTGTTGTTGTTGTTCAAATAGAGTGGGAGGAAGAGAGAGAGAGAAACATCAACATGAAAGGGACACATCAGTGGTTTCCGCCGGCACGACCCCAACTGGGGCCAGGGACAAACTGCAACTGAGGTATATGCCCTTAGCAGGAACCGAACCCGGGTCTCTGATCCACGGGCCAACGCTCTAGCCGCTGGGCCAATGCTCCAGCCGCTGAACCAAAACGGCCAGGGCACATTTACATATTTATTGAAAAAAAATTGCAGCCCTGGCCAGTTTGGCTTAGTGATTAGAGTGTTGGCCCATGGACCAAAGAATTGCGGGTTCAATTCCCAGTTAAGGGCACATACCTCAGTTGCAGGTTCCATCTATGGCCCCAGTTGGGGTTGTATGGGAGGCAACCAACCCATGTGTCTCTTTCATATTGATGGTTCTCTCTCTCTCTCTCTCTCCACCCTTCCCCTCCCTCTCTCTCCTGTCCCTTTCTTTCTTCCCTCCCTCCTTTCCTTTCCACTCTATCTAAAAATCAATGGAAAAATATCCTCAGGTGAGGATTAACAAAAAAAGAAATCTGCATGTAAGTGGATCTGTGCAGTTTAAATTTGTGTTGTTTAAGGGTCAGCTTTGTATATTTCCATTTAAATATACTTGTATTTAAACACTTGAATCACCTCTCTTTTTTTTGTTGGCTATCCTTGGTCTCTTGGAATTCCTTATAAATTTTTTTTTATCCTTACCCAAGGACATTTTTCCATTTTTTGTTCAGATTTAGTGGGAGGGGGAGAGAGAGAGAGAAACATCGACGTGAAAGGGACACATCGAGTGGTTGCCACATGCACGACCCAATCAGGGCCGGGGACAAACTGCATTCGAGGTACGTGCTCTTAGTGGGAACTGAACCCCTGGTCTCTCTGGACCACAGACCGATTCTCTAACCGCTGAGCCAGTCTGGCCAGGGCGGAATCACCTCTTTTGAGTTAGAAAAACTTCCCTATTAGGTAAATTATAAATTGCAGTTCAGTTAAATTTTATTTCATCGAGAAATTTAAGATTCCTTGTCAACTGAAGTAACCAGATGAAGTTTTAATATGAAAATTATTTAGACTTTGTCATAAGGATTCATACATAATATTTCGTTTAAATAGTATTTCATAATATAATAGTTACATTTTTTTCTGTCAATTTTTATTCTTTTTCAGTTGGAATCACTTCTCCAATTGTGGCTCACATTGAGCCTGAATTCTAGTTCATCTGGAAACAAAGAGAATGGAGCAGACATTTTTTTATATAATGCTAACCGAATACCTGTCATTTCATTAAATCAAGGTAATATTTATTAGAAGAAAAAATATTCACATAGCATAAATAATAAGCTTAAAAAGTAATTGATATATACTTAAAATTTGTCATAAGGGTTATAATGTTTATTGAAAAAAATTTTTTTGTGCACTAACTTAATAATTAGCAGGAAAGAGAACAGAAGACCCTTATTCTCTTGTCTATTATCTTATGCCTATATGCAACTAAAATTAACAATGTTCTGTTGCAACTGGTGTAATTTAAACATCTGAATTTGCTTCTAGGGGAATTGGTAAATTGGAGGAGGATATTCATTTCCAATAGAAGTTCTGTTCATTTTTCTCTTGACATGTGCAAGAATGTGGAAACTATAATAATATCAACAGGAATAGAACTAGCCTTTAGGTCTGGCTATGAGAATCTATTTTAGTTATATTTTAAGTGGAAATTACTTGTTCCTGGTGCTTTCTCATTATGGAGGGGCATCCTATATCTTGCACGACTCGCACATGACCTGTGTTCCAGCCTTAGTAACAGCCACATTGGTTCATGGTACCACTTATGTCTGCATTGTTTCAGCAAGACCAGTCTAACTTTAATCAGTTTTCATCCTTTCTCTGCATTAATAATTATTATATAAATTTTGCTCCCCTTGCTTTTTTAAACTTTGTTATTGTAAAAAAAATTAAGCAAGAATAGGTAGAAAAGTAATGACTCCTTACTATCATCAGATATCTGGTCAGTATTCACATGAACAATTGTCTCAAGTTTTATAAAAAAATTTTTTTGTTTACTTGAATTAGAATCTGTATAAGGTCTACACATTGTAGTTAATTATGTTTCTTAGATCCCTTTTCCTCTCAGTAGGTTTCTTCCATGTCTTTTTTATCCCCTTGCAAAGTATTTTCAGAGAAGTTTGATTGTGTGTTTTCCAGGATTCTCAGGGTCCTGTTTGTTAGTGATTATGTCTCCATGATGTCCCCTGTATTTCCTTTAAATTTGTAGTTATTATAAATTGCAGTAAATTGGAGCTTGATATGATCTGAAATTTTTAAGGCATTTAAAAGGTTGTCTGTTTTTTTGATGACAGGTATTGATGCTTAATGCTTAGAGTCATTAACAATTCACTAGATGTTTCAAAGTGAAGGTAGTCTAATTCTGTTATTCCTTCTTTATTTATTAGCTGAAATACTCCCATAAAGCGAAACTTTCTTAAAAAAAAAAAGAGAGGAAAAGTTTTTTTTAAATGCTATTATATCACCTTCTGATGATATAGGTTGTATAATAAAGGCAGGAAAAAGGCTGGAAATTTTTTTTAGAATTTTAAAAATGATCCTGTTCACAAGTAGTTTGTACTCATAACCTATACATTTCTTTAATAAATATCTCTATAAGTTTACCGACTTAAAATATATTTTATGCCTCTTATTTTAATTCTTATTGATGGTGATACTGTGCCTGTGGCCAGTAATTTTGGTGTGGGAGTCATGTTATTTTAAAAAAATAATAAATGATTCTGTTTCTGTTAGCTTTTAGTGTGATAGATGCCCCAGGCTCTGTATTTCCTGCCTGAGATCTGAAATGAGCCATTTTTAAAGGATGTTTTAAGAGCACAATCTGGGCACTCTATTATGTGTGTGCATTTTGAACAACTGTTTTGGCTTTTCTAGTTGGCGCAGGTGTTTCTTAGCTTATCTGGGCCTTGCAAGCAACCTCGTTATGTTTTATTTTAGTATGTGCTTTATTGTGAAGTTGTGCTGGTTTTGATTGGTCTACCCCAACTCTGTTTTTTTTTAGTAAGCCGTATTATTTTAGATTTTGGGTTTTGCAGAATGTGCAGATTTTTAGTAAAACAAATTCTGTTTTAGTAGAAATGCATGTAGTTTAGAAAAAATAACATATTTATAATGATAACATTAATTTATGTGTCATGGGCTGAGCTTTAGACTTAGCCGTAAAATGTTAACTGACGCTTAATGCTTTTGCTCTTTTTAATGGGGAACTCTTTCATTTGTATGTTTTGGGGACTCTGTGTAGTGAGTTGATTTAAAGAAATATTTTTTAATTTATTCTTTTTGTTTTTAATTCTTAGTAAACATTTGCCTTTTCTGAGCAGAAATTTTTTGCTTTCTTTTTTCTACATAGCATCAATAACTAGCTTTCTCACAGTGTTAGCTTGGTATCCCAATACCTTGCTCCGGACATGGTGCCTTGTGCTTCATAGTCTAACAATCATGACGAACATGCAGCTTAATTGTAAGTAAAGATTTATTCTTTTATATCTATTTATTCCTCTAAATCTCTGACATACACATTATTATTCTTGCTGTCAGAGTATTTGAAAAGCTTTTGCTAAAAAGTGGTATAGTTATGAAAAATTTTTTTCTTACTTGAATGTGTATCTTCTGAATTTGTTATATATTGTATAGTTTCTGCTTCTTTACATTGATAGTATACTCTCATATATGTTCCATTACAAGTTCAAATCATATTTTTACCTTCAAAAACCTTAATAGTTATTAAAATAAAATTGATTACTTTTAAAGTAGAAAGTCTAGTATTTAATACTAATGTATGTTTTATATTGGTTATTCTATTAAAGTACCTTTGTATTTAAAAATTCTTTATTCATTATATTTGTTGACATGTATAACTAGGTGCCTTGGTTTTTGTTTTCCACATTTGAAACCTATATTAACTGAACATAATTGCTTTTTCTCAGCTTCTTATGTCCGATTAAGTTTTTTTCTTTCCACATCTCACCCTTTTTTATTCCATTTTAGTTGAGA